TTTCTCGAAATAAACTACGACTCATAAACGTTGAAGTGAATACGAGAGAAAGAACGAGAGCGTCCCCCCTCCTCGCCCTCTTCACGCTAGTCGGCACGATGAGGAAAAGATCGCTGCATGGAGATCGAGAGGATCGACCTGCTGTGTGCCTGGAATCTCCTCCCTCGTGTGAACATTAATCCGCATGGAAGTTCTCTCTCAAGTGAAGGATGCTGTCAATAATGAATTGGCTTTGGCAGCACCTATTACTTTTCTTCTACCCCTTCCTGCCACAAAATTCAACCTCTTCGTATTCTTCTCTAAAAGCATCAACAGCAACGAAATTGAGTTTGCTTCCTCCTCTTTCAACACGGAATAGCTTCAGCAAATTTGAAGCTCCATCTCCCCAGGCTTGCGGAGAACAATCTAATACTTTAATTCGAAGAGCCCGAGAGTTGTGGTGGTTGTGGTTGTCACCCCAGCGAGAGGGGGGCCTACGAGACCTGATCATCAAAATGATGGCCATAGGCTATGTCGTCCACCGCTCAAAGCGCCAGGTCCATGGGGCTATATCAGCCTGAGCCTTAGGCTTTGGCTCATCCTATTATTTTCATAGGCTTCATACTTACCTGTATCAAGCAAAGGGTGCTGCGAACTGAATGCGTGTCACGTTTTCACTGATCGACTGCAAGTTCTTCATTTGAATACATTATTTGCTGAAGTATATTTTCTGCATTTATTATTTATTTCGTTAGGTCAAACGTGGCGGTGGTGACATCGCTTCCATGCAATAGTTTTCTATTTGCGTTTCATGGCCAATTTATTCGAGTTCTCATGATTGATGAAGTCAAAATAATAGTCTAAAAAGTCTCTCTTCATATGTCGCGCAAACGAGGTACACCTCCCATCAAAATGGTGGCGATTTTTGCGAGGTGAGGTTGACGCGTAGAAGAAATATTGATAAAGGTTCTACAGGACGGTGATGAAGCAGTTGTTGCTGGTAAAAAAAACGCTTGGTACTGGCGCGGAAAAAAAAACATTTTTCACTGCAGTTGCGGTACGAAGTGAGTAAATCGTTGCTAGCCGTAATGGCTAGAATCGGTGATAAACAGCAAGCAGATGTACGTAGGGAGCGTAGGGCCGCTCAAACCGCTGAACAGCAAGAGGCAGCAATTGCTGAGCTCCGGAATAGGAGTGCCGTGTATCCTGCTAAGCAACTTGATGCAGGTTGGCATTTTCAGGAATTAGTGCATGTGCGGCACAATGCTAAAGACTAACTTCCCTCTGCGTCGTCGAAGAAGTTCAAGTTCCGGAATCAGCAATTTCGTCTTGAGTCTCATGAAAACGTGCTAAACTGAGTCGTTCACAATGGCGACTGTGACAATCAGCTCGAATATCATGATGATAGTGTTTAGGAGCAGAACCTCCCTGTGTACTGTAAGCTGTGTACTGTACAGTATATGTATACCCTATGTACGCATATGTACACCCTGTGTACTGTATATGTATAAATGTAATGAAGCGGTTTAGTTCCAATGGGTAATGCAATGAACAGAGGATTGTCAAGAAGACGTCATGTTCACAAAAGACTATTCAAATTTCCACATATTAGACGGCCAGCGTAGCGGCCGCAGACCGCTAGTAAATATTGATTTTGGAGGACTTGAATTTCATTCCGGGGGGGGGGGATCGAAGAAAAGGAAAGCCATTTAAAATTAGTTGTCACATTACTTCATCCACTTATTGGTATGTTGGGTTTCATTTAGAAAGGGCCTCTAACGAAAAGTCGAGGTATCTGCGAACTACAAAGCAGAAATCTCATAGGGGTTCCAGCATTCCTTCTTGAGTAAAGCTTACGTTAAAGTGATTCAAACAGCATAAATAATAAATTAGACAATTTTAATCCATCGAGTAATTTAGCGTTGGTTCGATTTTAATGAGTAGGAGAAATTCCACTCCGGAAACAGCGACGGGTAACTTCCGTTTCGGCTGCACTTCGGGGTAGGACCGGCGATAGTAGCACTGGTAGTCGCAGGATTTCATTATTGTGGCGGCGTAGTTCTGCTCCGTCCCCTGAAGGCTCTCCATCCCACTTCTCCTGGGCCAGGAGAAGTGGGATGAAAACGGAGCGTCCGTGGATAGCGAGGGTATATTTTTACCTTTTGCCGCGGAACACCGAAACAAATGATGCGTGTTTTCGACTGGAGGATGCTTCCAATTCATAAGTGCTGTGTTTTTAGGATGGGAATGGATTTTCTGACGATCATTTGAGGTTCAAGGTTTTAGGTTGTTTAACGGCATCAAGAGGCGATAATACCCATTGGGAAACAACGTGTCGAGGTAGAGCGTTCCTCAGTTTTAGGGTAGGCCTACTCCTCTTTAAGCCAAATATGTTTTAATTTTTGTGAGATTTGTGCTTTTTCGCTAGCCTCTAGTCCTTAGGTACTTCACCGCACGAAAAGCTGCTTCCAAATATGATTATTAGTGGAACCGATATTTCTCTAGCAAGTTCCTTGATAATTCGGGCAAGAATCCCGTCGGGTCCGGCCGCCTTCACCGCCTTTCAACTTCCCTTTCATTTTCCCGATCGCCTCCTCGGTGATGGAAATGGGTTGTTGACACCGATGGGTTGTTGACACCTACCACTAACATCTCAATAAAAAGCCTTGGCATTCTTGTTGGCATTGCATGCAAGTGGTTCTTTGGCCACCCGTCTCGCAGACCACATTTCCCATTTCAACGAAGGCGTGATGGTCCTATATTTATAATAGTCCGTTCTATGATATCTCCCGTGCGCTTATACGTATCCCATTTCCGCTTCCGCTCTTATCCCTGATGTAGTGCTTTTGATTTTACCCGGAAACCAGATCGGTTGTCTGGCCGATTTCATGGACTTCTTGGGGATGCATTCCTCCATAAAGTCTATCTAAAGAAATCTTCGCCGGTTTGGCGTTACACCCCGTCCGTTTGATATCCCATGTTATCGCGCAGTTATCTGAATCTCCCATGTTATACTGTACCTTTACGTCTAGAGCCAGATCATCGCAAAAACTAAATCCAGTAAAGCTTCCTGGAGTCGGTTCTTCCACATGCTGAACGAGAAGAGTATCCAGAACCGCAACGAGAAATTTCCTATTCCTTTCGCTCCCCACTCGCGGCATCGACCAATCTATTGAATATGTCATGTATGCTAAAATCTCCGATGAGCAATACCAGCTTCGGGATCTCGCTGATCTCGCATCCCTACTCAGTGCAAAATAAGAGTATTCGTCCTCACGGGAAGAGTTTGGGGGCCTATAGCAAATTCCTAGCACGATCTTCCCATTCGCCTCACCGATCTCGCACCATAAGTATTCGATTCAATCTCGTATTCCTCATCTGATATGTGAGAACCACCCCAAGTCTCGGTTATTCACATAAAACATTAGACAGAAGCTTCTTGCGACGTACCGGTGACGCTTCATGCCTGAATTTCACGAATTTATTCGTTTTTCGACTCTACATTTTAAATGATGATATTTCAAACTGTTCCTTTGGAAATGCGGGATTCCTTCAATAAATACGTGTGAGTTTTCGTTTTGTGCGAGTAACCTTTCAAGGAATGATGTTTCACGCATATCCCCATGACCCATTAAACGCCATCGCAATGACCCCTCATTTCCCATAACAAAAGTTGAATTTTTGCTAAATAACCACGTGTCACACGAATATCCTTTCCCTTACGAGTAAGCACATTTTGAAAACGGTCAAATAAAGCTGTGGCATCGTCTGCATATGGAACCAAATGTAAAAACGATAGAAACTGAACTCGAAGAAAGGAGGAATGTATCACATTGCTATCCCTATGGGACGCACGAGCGACGGACACGTTCATCGGGAAGGCGATAGAGCGGCGAGGCCGTGCACTCTCAAGGGCTCGAGTGTGAATCGCTCAGAAGCCCGTGCATTGCCCGGAGTGCTTATCAAGAGGAGCTTCTTCCGCACGATCCGCGGCGGCACACCCACATTGGGACTTTGTCGGAATTCCTCGATTGTGATGTGGTTTTTGGAGATTTGATTGGTCCCGCGGCTCTACGTCTGCTTTTAACGTGCGGCATTATATTCCAGGCATTAAAAGAAGTTTCGAGTGAGATCCTGTATTTATACATCATCGTTCAGCTTCCTTACCGCAGACCTAGGCAACCGAGTCTCTCTCGGTCTGGCTGGAAGTACTTCCTTTTATTGCCAACTATTAAGGCGTTTTGTTTTCCTCATGCGTTACTTAACAGACTTTTCGTTTTGGGACACATTGTGACTTCATTCATCACTCATATGGCCTCCGCTATAAAAGCTATTGTCCAATAGGACTTATGTTATCACATCTCTTATCATACCCGAATCTACCAAGCCCAAAAGGGGAAACAGATACAGCCTCCACAATCACAGAAACCCAATCTTCAATCACCCGAAATCCATCGCTTTTCTTCGAGGCGAAGCTGAGTTCGGCCCTCCTGTCTCTTTCACTCTTAACTCCATAGATGACCTCATGCTCTGCTCATACTTTCTGGCAGGTTGTGCTCCGACAGAAAGGCGAAGCACCATCCATTACGGTCACTTCACGAATTACTATTTAGTTAATTAATATCAATTCATGTGGTTTACTTTCGTCGGACGTACAGAAGTACCTATTCTGCAAGTCTCAAAACCTAAAGGAAACTTTGCCCTAATGCATACCGGCGAATTCGGAACTCAAACGGAATGACGCCGCGGGAAACAAGGTGCTTTGCTTCCACAGAACGGTGTACGGTATAAGAGAGGGTGCGCAGGACACAAGAAACTCTGCTCCAGGAGTTCAAGTCCGTTTTGGTCCTTCATAAATTCTTCCTCTTCGAACATATTCCTCAATAGACTCTAAGATTCTTCAACGCCATCAGCTCCTATTTTGTTCTCTTCAATAAAACTAAGCCGAACGTCGGTGTAACACGATTTATACAAATACACGGCAAGTGTTTCTTTGCAGCGAATACAATTAGCGTGCAACGTCATCCGTTGGTGACGGTGGTGTAGATGAAGTCGGAATTGAGGCTGACCCTGGTATCGTAGGATGTTCTTCCACAAGATGAACCGGACCAGAAAGACGAAGGCTTGAACGAGGCAACTCCCATGGCATAGGCCACACCGTTTAGGTAAACAACCAGAGGTCCTCCGCTATCTCCCTTCAACGACAGCAAGAAAAAGGTTTTGAATTTTTCAGATGGGGAAACTTTGAATCAGTTCCGCACCTCACAACCAAAATAAATTTTAAAAGGGAAATAAAAGGGATGACTCACCGGGCAAATTGCAGTCTCTGAGTTTGTCCCGGACACGCATATGACTTCTTTTTTGTCTACGTCACTGCAACCAATCGACGCATAAACTGACATCGTCTGCAGAAACTTGGTGGCCAAATTATCACCGATACGACCCCATCCAAAAACTTTCTTGGGACACGCTTCAGCATCGTGCACGCTATCGGTTCTCGGGATGCAGATCGGTTGGACGGATGACGAGAAGGTGAGGGCCCCGGTGAGCTTGATCACGGCGATGTCATGGCCCATTTCGTATGCCGCTGCAGTTGATGGCGATGAAGTGGAAGCATTAGCAAATCTTTTCATTGAAATCGGGATGAGCAGTAAAATTAGAAAATGATCTCAGAGTCCTTTTTGACGGTTAAATTGGAATTACAATTTTTAATTCCGGACTGTATTATCCCAAATAGTTATTTCGACGTTTATTAAACGTCCTATGGAATTGCTTTTCCCCCTATTGATCTGGAGGGGTGGATATTCAGCCATTTAGGGGACATATACTACTTGGTTCAAGATGTTTCGAGATTTGGGTCGCCGTGACCGAACGCTGTATTGCATACCAAGATAAATTTTGCTGAGCGTACTGTTCCACACTACGTGCTTTGAATGGCATTGACGATTCCGAGAAGGCCGTGGGTCCCTGGAAGGTGATGTTGGAGGTGTTCTTCGACCACGAGGGCATTGTCCATCGTGAGTGCATTCCGGAGGGAAGAACGGTGAACAAAGAGATGTACGGAGATGTGCTGTGGCATATCCGAGAAGCAATCCGGAAGAAATGACCACCGAAGAGGGCAGACGAGAATCGGATCCACCTTCATGACAACTCACCAGCGCACCAGATCGCTGATGGCTGATGGCTGATGGTGAGCGTGGCTTGACAGACACTGGCACCGTCATGCTACCACATACCCCTTACTCCCCGGACCTTTCGCCGTACGATTTTCACCTTTTCGCAAGAACGAAGAAGCGCCTGAAGAAAAATAGTTTTTCCTCCAGCGAAGAGGTGCCTTCACTTCTTCGGTGAAGCTATAGTGGCGGCTCTTAACGGGATCGCTAAAATGGGTTCCAGTTCTGTATCGAGGAACCTTGGCAAAAGACGTTGGCAAAAGGATACGAAAGCCAAGGCCACTACTTTGGAGTTGATACAGTAATAGTACCGTAACGCTCACTGTTAGCATGCAGTAAACCTAGTCTCGAAACATTTGAACCTACCTTGTACATGCGAGTGGGTTATTCACAAGAAATAAATAAAAAAAAATATATATATATATATATATTTTTTTTTTGAGGCTGCATCTTTATTCCCAATGAAACACTTATTTATAGGAATCGGATGCTACCAGACAGAATTAAGGTTTACATTTTTCAGGGTTGAACAGTAGGCTAGACAGATGACAGCGAAATACCATTTGCCAGGATTATTTTTGATCCCATTCAGACCCCGAGATGAAGTGATGGAGCTACAGTTTACCACAATAAAGTAAAGCCCTTTCCTCTTTCCTAGGATGCTGTCTCACAGGGATGTTGCGTCCCCTCGTCCTGTTTCTGGCCCTGTCTATTTGGAGGCATGAACGGAGCAGACACTTCCAAATTTATTTTCCACGTATTCCAAACAGATTCCTGGTTCTTAGATCTAAAAAAAATAGTGTCTTCTCAAGTAGGAGCCCTTCCCAGTCAAAATTATTCACGATTTTCATTTTTTCAATGGATTTTCGCTCTGACATCTATGGGAGAAAGCACAGGGAATTAATTTCAGCAGAATCCGAGAAGTGACTCCCTACTGCGACTACTTTGGCTCCGTCTCACGCCGGTTTTCAGAACCTTCTCAGCCAAATTGGCCAATCGTTGGCTGAGGATGAGCCAACCTCCCCAGCTATGGCCCAACGATGAACCAACGAAAAATTTTGACTAGGTTACATTCAGAAATAAAAGTTATTACCATGAAAAATCTGATTCTCAAGAAGAAAGGTCCTTGAACAGATGGCCTGGCGCCATTCACAAGTATCTTCAAAAAGTTTGTGTAATAATACTGTCAGTCACTGAATTTTAGTCTGATCGCAATGACATGCTGTAAAATTTGTTAATGCCGCCGTTCCTAACCTGCTACAAGGAGGATCTGATAAAACAGCACCCGTCAACAGATTGTGCCCTGAAAGCGGATCGGAGGCAACATCGGATGGAAGCTGATTCTATGGGGGAGAAGTCGTTTCTGGGGGGCGAGAGATGGTGTTTTTTTGTACCACCTCATGCCCCAGCGTCACTCTGCAGCGTCTTATCTTAGATCGCAAAAGCTTAATATAGTGAGGTTAAAGGGGAAAGTAATGATGATGGCATTCTTTGGCTTTCGGTGGTTCAACACGAGTTCTTCTCAATCGAAAATACCAGGAATCTGGAGAGATGATCCGCGAGAATTGGGCGAGCGGCGAAATGCGGCTTGCAATAAATGTATTTATCTGTGGGCTACTCAGGGGAGATTGCTGCTTCATGACAATGCCCGAACTAAAGTTTCGCCAGTTTAGTAAAGGCGAGAGTCAATGCATCATTTTTTTCAGGATACAGCATTAATTTTCTGAATTCAAAGAACACCTATCTCTTCACCGTGAACAGTATTCTAATAACGTTTGATTTCACTCACAGTCGTTGAAAAGAGGGTGAACATCCCAGGATGCAGCAGTGTAACTCGTTCCCCTTTCGTAATTCTCGTTTCCGACTGTGACTTTCACAGAGGTTGCCGAAGACGATCTTCATAGAAATCCAAAATGAGAAAAGGGTATCTATGTAGTGCAAGAATTTGTTTTTCCGAGCTTTGCATTAGCATGCACTTATTTCCGGATGGTTACTCGAGTAATCAAAATGTTTCTGATTTATTTTTAATTTTCTCCAATAGCTGAATTCCACATTCCAATCTTTCTTTCACGTATGGGCTCCATTATCCATATCAACTTTAAAGCGCATAATACGAACCTGTCGCCTCGTCAAGATAGAAATTGATTCATTACGTTGTGGACTGCTCATGATAACGGACAAACTGACCCCTCCTTGATGCAATGGCCAGCAGTCAAAACGTGAAGTCGATCGATGATGAAGCCAGTGCAGCCATACAAATTCCCAGACACAGTGATGCTGAGAAAGGCTAGCCACGGTGCTTCCTGGATGGTAGCAGGGGTTCCGCCGTAGATCAAGGGGTCCACCTGTCTGGCCTTCGATTCGGCACCACTCGGTTGCAAAAGGAAGACCTCTAGGAGTCGACTGAACCAGCTACTCGAGGAAGACGCTCTGGTCAGATTGAATTGTCCGCATTGGCCCGCAACTGGGAAAAAAAGCACTTATTGAAGGGGGTAAGGTCATTGCAACTGTAGTCACCTTTTGGTTTCAGGAGGTTTTGAAAGAATGGACGGAGTTACCAACTCTCATCTCTTGCCAGGTGAAAAGGAACTGAGGACTGAGGAATTGCGCCTAGGGGTAAATCGGATATGATCACACATAAGCTGGCCTCGGAGACATGAAAATATTTCTCCGAAAAAATATTGATGCATACATGTGACTGCTTCCACTTCGATTATTATCGTCTTTTACTCAACTGGTAGAAGAAGTTCTATTAGTCCTAGACCGAAAGAGCTAAATCCATATGTCGCAATTAGAATCAGTTACGCACAATTCACGATACATGGGCCATGGTATCCTACGTGCTCATGCATAGGCAGAACGTATGCGAAGCGACTTACGAAACAGAGGCGCATCTGCTGTGTATTGGCTGCAAATCGGAGTGGGCGTAGTAGTAGTCGGAGTTGTAGTCGTACTCGGCGTCTTTTTCACGATTCCCTGGAGACTCAACTCAGGCAGGGTTAGGAGAAGAGCGACGAAAACGAAGTCTCCTTTCATGGCGCAGATTCCCGTCTTTCTGAACTCCGAGCTCCCACAGCACCGAGGTCGAGCGAGAGAGGTGGTGGACGCCTTTGAGTAGGATAGATTCTTCGTAAAACGATGGATTCCGTACTCCACTGGGAAATAACAACCTGGAAATGCCGTGTCAACATTGAGAAACGGGAACGACGATACATACGCAGCACATGAACTAGGGAAAAAAGTTATTGTGCAGTATGTATGCATGTATCTAGTTATTTTGTTTTCTGTCACTGTCTTTCCCTTGTTTTCTTACTGTACCGATGGTGTTTGAGATAACCTTACCGTAACCGGAAATGCAAATCCCAGCTAAACCTCTTGAATTGGTTAAGATTATGGTTTCAAATGTTGATACAATATCATAACTTTACGGATCATTCGTAATGCTCAGATAATGCTCATGGGAAATATTGCTGGTAAATTAACAGTAATTTCCTTTTCACGATTTTTAGCATTTCATTTCGCATGAAGAATCGATCCAATAATCCACTTATATAATACGCAGTTTATCGAATCACCTAACCATGAAGGAGAAATAGTGCGAAGGTGAGAGTGGTCTCTTATTGACTATCATGTTCTAAAACTTTGCACAAAAAATATATAATGTGTGAATTCATCAATTAATTGAAAAGTTAATTATTTTATTGATAATAAAATGATGCTACCTATTTAGTGCTCTCTCTTGGATCGGCTTAAGCAGTCTCTTCGATCTCAACGGAGCTCTTTACATCCGATTGGTAATTGCATTTTTCTTACTGCTAATGAAGCAATTATCCATGAGGGAAAGACTTCCGACCCGTCGAATGGTGCATGTGATATATTAATCGCAAGCTCTTGATGAGTAGATTGCGTTGGTGCATATTTTGTCTGTGAAATATGAGAAAAGAAGTAGTTAATTTAATTTGCTGTCACGATGAACGGAGGGCGAGACATCCCTTTCCCGTTGGAACAGGAACCCCTATGTGTGTTGATCGGTGAAATAACCATATGTTATGAGTGCGTTCGTGTAATGGTAGCAAATCGGACCGAGAAACAGGAGGCTTCGGTTCAAGTCGCGGTCGTGCCATTCCTTTTTTCCGTCCAGCCACGGCAGCCTCCCCTGGCTTCGATCCTCATGACATACGACCCAAAGGAAAACTCAACCTTCTACCTTTTTAACGCAGGGATTTTGCGTCTTTTCCTATATACCCTAACTAACTTACCTCAGAGCAGGAAGAAGACACATCACATTCCTTCTATGTTCGGCCGAACGAGCGAGAAAGTCAGCCTAATTGGGGGGATGATGAAGCAGTCGGATTAGAAAATAATCGTGGTCAAAGGTCGCGACCCTTTCCTAACCCAACTGACCCATCGTTTCCCAAAACAGGTTGACTTTCTCACTCCTTGGCCTTTGACCGAACTGGAGGAAAACAATTTAAGATCTTCCGTACCGTGCCTACTTTCTACTCTCTCGGCTGAAACTTACATAACTTTTACAAATTCATACAGTATTTACATTTGATATATGTATTGCAACATTATACGGGTAGTCCACTTCGGAAGTCATCCCAACACGGAATTCTTCACGTCTGTTGACATTCATTCATTACACCCGAAGTGGATCCTGTTCTAGCAGGTGCGATCTATCTACATGAGAATAGCCGACGAGGCCTAGGCCTAACAGACTATCTTCAGGTCACGCCATGACCTACCTTTTCCTTTACAAAAGAAACTAAAGTCTCGACTTACTTCCCCAATTAAGCCTCTAAGGGTGAATCGTGGTTTGCGAGACATCTGCTTGAGGACGTGTAAAATTACGGCGATCGCAGGCCTATTCAGACGTCCATGAACCGTTCCAGTTGGACGTGGAACGTCAGGCCTATCAGGAGTTCTTCGAACCATTTCGAGTAGGTCTGAGTTTTGAATGCCTTCAAGAAGCATGGGATCCATGGTACGCGCCATCCTGTTAATTCAGGGATGTCCGGATGACATATCTGCATATCCCAATGAATCACTGCTAAGCACAGCATCATTCTCAGCTCAACTCATGACCTCAAAAAAAAAGTATCATTATTTTAAAATCGGAAGATCCAGACGCCAATACGAAGGTTGAAACAATCTGGTATATTTTCGCCACGGTATCCGGCAACACTGGGGGACGGTACCGGAGCAAGCACTCTGAGCCTACTTGAACGTCAGTTAATTTCATTTTTTATGGCCAAATGGAGTTTCGCAAAGAGCCAAAAAAGAGCCACTTTTCGACATCTACGAGTCAACTACGCTTACCCATGGATTTGAAAGTCACGTAGTAACAATCCCGTTTCTCAAGAGTAATTTTCACTCATAGACCGACATGAAAGGTGAGGGAGATGAACTTTACCGACGATACGTACAGGGTCGCGATCGATACGGGATAAGAGTGCTGCTCGATAAAAGTCAGAATCGTAATCGTGAACACGCCCGTGAGTAAGGGGGAGGGGGGGGGGAGGAATGCCCGAGACGTACAACGTCCGAGCGGCTGCTGCGTTAATAGGGCCGCTGATTGCTGATCACTGCTGATTGAACCCGTGTATGCCCGAAAATGCTCCACGCTTAGCCTCGGCCGACACGGAGTTCGCGGATGACTTCCACGGGTCGGGGTCTCCGTCTCGCTCTCGAGCGAGCAGTTTCTTTCGAGCCTTCGCGACTGTCGGATCCGTCCTCGAGAACGAGAGAGAGAGAGCGGCTGCCGCCTCGTGTTCGAAGGGCCGCTGACTGAACTCGTGCATTCCCGACGATGTTACACGGTTCGCCAATGCCAGGGATATCAAACTTGATTCTGATGGCTGGAGCCTTTCGGGATTGTTTGGGTTCAGATTAGCAAATCTTGAACGAAAGTTTCATTTGCTAACAAGTCGAGATCGTCTACTCTTCTCCAAAAACCAACTGTTGAATGGGACTTTGTGGTCCAGACGAAATCAAATAGCCGGCCGGAAGTTAGACCCCCTCGCCCTAGACCGGCTTGAAGTTCGTGATAGTCTTCCACTAATCAATCTCGAGGACGGGATATAGCGGCCGCTGTTTTTTTTTTGCGTCAAGATGACCACTGAGTTGCAGGGCTGCCGACTAAACTCGTGAATGCCCGAAAAAACACTTTGTGGAAGGCTTCCGCGGGTTAGAGTGCCCGTCTCACGCCCCAAAGCTAGTACTTTCTCTCCGGCCTTCGCAACTGTCGGATCTGTTCTTGAGAATGGGAGAGAGAGTCATTGTATGTCCTGTGCCCCCCCCCCCCCCCCCCCCCTAACAAAGGGGTGTTCACCCGTCGATACGAACCTCGTCGATACGATGCGGGAAAACTCACATACAACTCTTGGAATCCCGTTTAACTCCCAGTGGGGAAGTGGCGGGATCCCCTCTGGGTGGGATAGAACAGGGGGACATCCTTTTAGGGGGGGGACATCCTTTTATCGGCAGGACGCCGCCAGTCGAGTCGTTACCACCCCGTTTCTATACTTGTATATTTCACTAATATGTTTGCATGAAAAGTGATAGCGATGGACTTAACGGATGATGCGGACAGGGTTGTGCTCAACAGGAAAAAGTGTCGTTCAATGTGAGTACAGGGTTCCGATCAATAAAAGGGATGGATCAGTTGCCCCCCATGACGTTGAGATAGTCACTGGGTTTTAGGGCCGACGAGAACTCTTTCTAAAGAACTCTCTATGAACTCTCTATGTACCTTCTATGATCTCGGGAACTCTTTCGAAAGAGTTCCTGGAAGTGTTCCACTGGTCGGCTGGCTCTAGAGTAACAGTCGATGAATGAAAGAGCAGAACGGCGTGCACAAAATGCTGCTTAGTACGCTTACTTCCAGGAAAAATGAAGTGGACCAAGAGAGAGCAGAATGGCATGCAGGAAATGCTCCGATTTGAGTCCTTTCAGCCTGAGCGTGCCACGCGTTTGTTTTTGCACAATTAGCCGTTACACAATTTCTGAATGTCCACGTGTTTCTTCGCATGAATACGTCAAATATCAGGGTCCGTTTCATCGCGTCGAAGTGACGCCAGCGGATGTGAACATTGGCTTCGTTAATTTCAATCGATAAAACGAAAATTGATTTCATCGGTAATTACGGAGCCAAAGGAGAAAGAGATATGCTAGGAGGCATTGCACACACAGGAGACGATACAAGCTAAAACGTACTCTCTGAAAGTAGGAGAAAACAACTCACGTTACGGCGACGACTTTCAGAGGAGTGGTCTGGCTTTCTTGTAGCAGCAGTTTCTCCTTCTCTTTTTTGCTTCTTCGATCAAAACAGGCAACCTCTCTTCGAATGGTGGAAGAATATGAGGGATGGCCGCGATGCGTCCGTTCACAGAAGAGATCCCCTTCTCGCCTCCGAGCTCTGACACGAACTGAGTGAAGTTTCCCTGTAAAACGTTCCCTGTGCAATAGCGCGTGTGCCCTTCCACGATGGGTTATGGTAATCCAGTAGGTGTTTTTTTTCCTCCTCCGGGAGGAATACCGAGAACTGTTTTGACGAAACCGGGAGGTTAACGTGTACACGGAGTGTAATGACTCCCACTTTCATCCGTCTCGTTCTTTCTGGATGTCGCGCTTCTTTTCACGCTTGTAAGCACGATGAGGAAAAAGAAAGCCAGAAGGAAAAGGCGAAGAAAGCAATAGGTGCCCGTAATTTATTTACCTCTATGTAGAACGTTGCTTGTCGATAGCTTGAATTATTGACAAGAATCGCAAAGAATGAAGGAAGGATGTTTTTAACTCTCCGTGGCTGCAGAAGCATGTAAATACGCGAGGAAAAAAAATTCGGTAGGGGTACTAAGGGCAATTAGGGAAAATCGATCTCACTGTAATTAAATTCAAGACCATAATTATTGCAGAGGACCCGGAGGGAGGGCCTTGAAGCCACTTTTCGGCACTCTCAGGTGAAGCACCTGACCGTGGCGAATGGTCAAAGGCCACGATTTGCATGCCTCTCTTTGAAAATCTGTATCTCCCCAACCCTTGGACGCAAAAACGTCATATTTTCGCTATTCTCCTCGCCACAGAACACATTAAATTATGAGTCTGAAAACGTGCTCATCCTCTGTTCTTTAAGACGCCGTGGCGCTGTCTTTGAAAATTCGCGTTTCGCGAATTACCGTCTTCCCTCGCTCCTTCCGCAAATAAAAATTGCATCGGGAAAAGCACTCGCCAATTTTGAGAGACCGTCCGCATTCGACTTCGTGCCAAAGGGCGTGATGATTCAACGAATCGTTTTCCAAGGAAGTTCGAAGAAACACCTCAAAGTCTCCCAATTTCGGCATAGTACCTCACATCCACGGTCATTCCTCCAGAACGAGAGAGAAACTCAAAATTTCAACCGACAGAATTGCAGGGTGGGTCACCATTTCTCATATGGCAATCCTCCCAATTTGGATTTTCTGGGCACGCAACTGAGCATCCCTCCCTTCCGATCTTTACTGTCCCTTCACTGACCCCCCCCCCCCCCCCCCCCCCCCCCCCCCC